CACGACCACACTACCACACGACCACACTACCACACGACCACACTACCACACGACCACACTACCCCTACCACCATCACAACTGCCACAGGACTACCAGATCATCTTCTGCACACTTCTTGGGGTCTCTTGTGTTAAATGGTCTGGGAAGCCTAGGGTTTTGTGGTTGTCCCAGTTCCCAAGCCTCAGCGAACTCCAAGTGCTACTTCGGGGTGATTCCGTGGACTGCGGACCGTGGACGGCTGGTCTGTCGTAGGAGGCGTTTCAGAAGGAAGAGATCTCCGAGTCCGAGCTGAAGGACGATGAACGGGGACGAACGGGGACGAACCGTTTGGAAAGACTCCAAGCGGTGATGAATTAATCCTCATGGTTCCTTTTGTGCACAAATTAGACTATAATCATCCTTAGCCACCCAGCAATTTTCAACTTCCAATTAGATATTAATGGTGTTAAAATGCATCGAAACACAACCAGGCGTGAACTGTGCAGTCCTGCAAGTGATCCTTTCCCCTGCGTTCGTGGGCTGCTTCATTCAATTCACCTCCCCTCTTTCTTTTCACTGGTGTCGTTTTCCTCTTCCGCCATGTGCCAGCCGCGGCGACCGGAAAAGCAACCGCTCAACTCGCCTCAGGAGTTGGACGCCTTCTTCGCACGGATCAACCCAACAGGCTCGCGATTCGCTCGCGCGCGGCCTTGGGCGGCGGGTGGTGGAGCTACGAAGGACTCGATGGCAAATGAGTTTTTTGGGGTTGGACGGTGACGAAGATGTGTTGTGTCTTTTCCACCTGTATGTTCGGGATCAATCTTGACCAGGTGCTTTAAGCTACTCCTGTGATTATTTTTTTGAGAATTGTGCACTGGAGCGGTGGGTCGTTTTGCAAGGTCATCGATCATCGCTTCGATCATTTTGGGGTGAGGAACACTGCGATTTGGGCCGTGACGACTTCTTCAGCCAAAACATCTCCGGGGCGGCGTGCACTGGCGCGCCAGGTCTCCCAACGTAATCCAACCGTCCCCGAACCGAGTGCCACCCTCGCCACGCGCCCCCAAAACCCGAACCCCCCCCCCCGCGCGGCCCACGGCGTGCATGGGCAGCAACGCCGGACGCCGGACGCCGGACAGCTGCCGGCGGCCAGGCCGTGCGACGACGCCACCGGAGCTGCTGGCCGCCGCGGGGAATCCCAAGTTGGGCCTCGCACGGCACCTCCGAGGCTGGCAAGAGTGGCGCCTACACTGGGGGGCATGCGGGCGACGTGGGTGCACGGCAGTTGTATTGGGGCAAGAGAGAGTGGAGTAGAGTGGCAAAAATCGTCCAAAAACCATCAAAAACTAACCATGTGGTATGGGGCTATATGTTCCAAGACCTGAACCAACACGCATGTTTTTGGCGATCTGTAATTCTCTGATTGAAGCAGATTGAGTCAGATTGGCATGCTTGAGACATCGATCATTTGAGTTGAAGTCAGCTTGAAACTCTAAAGCTGGGATGCACAAAACCACGCAAAAGACACAAAGCACCCTCAAGCACTTCTTGGACACAAGGGGGGGGTTGGGCTTCTCCTATTTCTTTTAAGCCCAACTCGGCCCGGGATTCCCCTCGAGCCTCACGGATCCCCCAGCCTCGCCCCAGCCGCTCGCTGCGGCGAGGCTTGGTGGCCAAGGTGGTTTCTCAGCAAGGCGGGAGGTCCAAACGACCAGAGACGCAAAGTGAGGCGTGTTGGTCTGGAAGGTGAACCGGGTGACCCCCCGGGAACCCATGGAGTTGCTTGGTGCCCAGAAATGGGGTTGTTGGTTGCTGCAAACAAAAGAAGCACATCATAAGACAGGTACATCATAAGAAGCACATCAAAATCAGGTCGGACATAAAATCACCTGTTTATACATGGGTCCAAATTCCACCCGTTGTGTTCATTCATTGAATACTACCCATCGTGTTCACCAGTCCCATGACGGAACTGGCGGTTTCTGAGACCTGGTGCAGGGAGAGAGATGGTGGCGCAAAAGCACCTCGCGAACAACTTGGGTTGCCCAAACACGACATATGAGCCATTTTGGGTAGAAGGACATAGAAGTATAGAAGCAACTACACTCCCTGAAAGAATCTTTGGTGGAGGAAAACCAACTGTTTGGTATTCGGGGTTCGGGGCCATCCACATAACCATGATGATTTCGTATCCAGTGTCGTGTGTCCAAATATTCCGCCGCCTCATGACATCGTTTTTTCAATCAAAGCACTGTGGTCTACCTGGTCTTGCCGATCAGGTGATGTTTGCAGTCCACTGTTTCTTTCCTTGTTTAAGCATGTTTAAGCCATTTTGAGAATGAACACTTCATGTCATGGGAAAACACACATTTTATAACCACTACCACTACAAACTTGATAAAGCTAAGCCATTTAGCCTTTCCACTGGGCCAGGGAAGCCGACGGCAGAGGCCAGGGCCGCGAGGGCCGCGGGAACGAAGGTCGGTCAACGGCGATGGCCGAGCCGAGCGATGGCCTCCAACCTGCTGATTTGCACGACGTGCCACCGGGACTCGGAACAGGGACTCGGACTCTCTCTCTCTCTCGCTGTCTCTCGCTGTGTTTGAAGAACGGGGTCTACCCCCAACTGTTGTGGGGCATATACCAGCCATTCCTGCGACGCTTCTTCCGTTGAAAGATTTTGAAGGGGAAAGGTGCTTGGATCATCAGAGGGAGGAGATGGTCAGCGAGGGCAGTCACGACTGGATGGCTCGTTGGATGGCAGTCGTTGACCTTGCCGGAACACCACGCCCTTTTCCCAACAGTCCACCCCACAAGACTCATGTTAGTAGCAAGGGCATCGCTACTAGTATAGCTTCTTGTTACTAGTAGTATATATAATGGCGTCCTTGCTACCAGTAGCGATGCACCTTGTTACTAGAATGTCAGATGTTGTTGCCATGTCCGACTTCACTTTGGTGCTTGGGCTGGTGTTCCATGCCACCATTGAGCATTCTGAGAGGTAAAGGAGCAAGATGCCAAATTCGCAAGCTATTTGACGATTTGCCATCCTCATTCAAAGTAGGCAGGCTTCAAGGAGGAGAACACTTGGTGTTGTTTGGCCCGAAAGAAGGGCTCGGTCAAGTATGACATCAAGTGGTCTCGGTTCTTGCGAGCGGTGCAGGGCATATTCGAAAGGTTGATCCTTTGGATGCGTGCAACGCGCAAATGACATGCACATGGCATGCTGGCATGCTGGATATGGATGCTTCCAACGTTCCGATGTACCGATGTCAAAACACCAGGTTCCCACTGCACCCAGAGAGGAAGTGATCTAAGGGTAATTCAATACTTTCCTCGGACTGGCAGACCTCTTGTTCAACCCGTCCCTGCGAAACCTAACTGCCTCCGGCCTCCGGCCTCGCGTTCGCAGGGAGAGACAGCAGCCAAACCTGGCGAGGCCTGCGAGTTGGTGTGTTGTTCTTTTTCCTGGTGTGGCAAGGACACAAAACGTCGACAGCAAGAGAATGAGCAGAAAATACCTGGTCATAAAGAGATATCCCAGCCACCAGCCACCTGGACTAAGGGAAAAAACACAAAAACACCCCACAGCTGAACCGAATTCGACAGCTGCTGGTCCGCTGAACGCCGAAGCGACGGCCTCCACCGGCAAGGCGGAGAACGCCAGCGCCACCGCTGTTCCGGCGGAAGCGGCGGCTGCGAAGGTGCGGGTGGACGACGGGGGGGGTGTATCATAAACACCGGAACTACTACACCCGGCAAGGTTAACATGGAACCGGGCGAACGGCAATGGACCTGCAAGGAAGACTACTTTCCTCTACAACCTGACGTGGTTTTCAGGTTCCATGTTAATCTTCCAGAGTGTAGGGGGAATGGAATGGAATGGATGGAATGATCCAGCTGGTGAGCCATTCGGGGTGAGGTGTTTCATGGTGTATCATGGTGTATCCACATTCCATATCATGAACTCTGGGCAGCTGAAGAGCCCCACAGTTTTGAAAAAAAGAGTGAAATATCGAGTCAATATGTGGGTTTGACACTGTTCATTTGATCCGTAGTCAACCAAGGGTTACAGGGTTTTCGGTCGCAGGGAGCCAGCGACTGTGCATGCGACATCGGAGCCGACACACAACCACAGCTGGGGAAGCAAACCCACAGGGAACCCGTAAAAATCGCGGGTGACATCTGGTGAACCGTGTTCTGGTCAGAACTTTTGTTGATGAATCAAGACCAAATTGGTCTCCGGAATGCAACTATTCAACTTTCCAGATCCTCGCCGACAAGTTTTTCATGCATGCCCAAGGTTTGCTGCCAATTTCCAGGAGGTTTGTGCCGCATTTCAAACGTAAATAGATACACATTTGAGAATCTGGTGCTTGTGTTGGTGTTGATTCTCAAGGAATGAGGACGTTTGTCTGACTTTGACCAATAATTTGCGCGCAAGATATTTTGCACTTTGCATCGCATTGGATGGAAACATATGTAAAACGATGTAGACTTCTTTTTGGCATTGCGCCTTCTAATGGCCTCTGGTTTGTTAATGGGAAAGCTGGGTTGCTAGGAAGGCAACCAGCACAGCGTTTGAATTTGCAGGCAGAGAAAGCATCTCCTCCTGCACCCGAACCTCATGGATCAAAGGCTTGTAAGATGGTTTTCTTGGACTTAACTCTGTGATTATGGTGAGAAGACGGCTGGACAGAGCTTAGTGTGTACATATATATATATATATATAGGAATATAGGATATACATATAGAGTGCATCGGGCGTGACACATGGCCCATGCACTAGGCATATCAGACCAAGTCTCCATCTTGTCCCTGCCATAAACGAACTGAGTAGAAGCGCCGCCCCAAGCATTCGAGCAACTCGATCGTGTGAGAGATTGAAGTAGCTTGCCCAAGCTTTGGCTTGGCAACCCTTTTGAATGCCTTGTGCCTTGTAGAATAATTCCTGCACGCAGGACTTTATTTGCACATTGCTTTGTATTGGCTGGAAACAGATGTGAGCTTCTTAAAGTTGCCTTCGAAGCCGAGCCCTGCGTTTTGTGCGTTTTGACCCTCGACACTACATATAACTTGTGATGTTACATGGGGGGTGGGGTTGGGGTGGGATAATGACGTTGATGTTACATGGGGGGTGGGGGGGGGGGGGGTGGGGTTGTGGTGGGATAATGACGTTGATGTTACATGAGGGTTATGGTGATGTTGACATTACATGGGGGTCACCATGATGTTGATGTTACATGCAGGTTTCTCTGATGTCGACGTTACATGGGGGTTACAGTATGACTTTTTACGGTAGCTGGAGCACCGCCCATAGAGGGCCGTGGTGTTTCTTGTTATTTTTGATGTTTTTAAGTGTTTTTCCTGTGATAAGCATGGGTTCTCGAGGGTGCGGTGGGGTGTGTGGGGGTGGGGCCGGGATAATAACGTCCGTTGTCGATGCAGTATAGGTTGTGAGTCACGGTCTCTTCCCCGGAAAAGTGCTTATATGTTCCATCAATGTCATATTCTTTATGCGTTATGCTTGGCACAGTGTCATTTCCGTCAAGCGCGTGCGTTGTATACCGCAGTTTTCCAGGTCTCAGTATGGTGCGTTTATCCTTTCTGCTTTGTCTCTTGCTTTCATTTTGTTGTTGTGGTTGGGACACTGGACAGGGGTGGATGAAGTTCCGCACTTGTTAAACGGGTTGTTTGAGGCGGACCCGTTCTACATTGATAGCCTGTTGAAGACCTTTTGTGATGCTTCCACCCCTGATCCTTTTGTGGATAGACGGCCTCTCAACTTTGAAATTCATTGCATGAGAATTACTTACAGTTTGGCACTCCTTCTACCAAGAAATGTTACTGCAAGCTCTATGTGCGCTGCAAGAAGTCTGATTGCAGGGCTCGCTTCAATGTCTCTGACTTCTCAGTCTTCAAAGGGACTCGGCTAGCTTTGAGAGATCTTCTGTGGCTGACACTCTTCTATGGGAGAGTGAACAGTGAACAAGAGTCGCTTCCCACTGGTAAGCGATGCTCAGTCACAACTGCACCTTGGGCGCACAAAAATCCAACATGTGTTTGATAGACTTCTCTATACCAAGACTCTAGCCGGAAAAGCTTTTAGCCGCAGCGCTCACAAACTCGCTGGGGCTGTTGAAGGTGATGGTCATGCTCTTCGCAAGATTTATGTGAGTCGGGGAAATGCGACCTTGGCTTGTGAAGTTGAAGAGGCCACTGCAAGATGGAAAAAGCAGAATGGGTCCAAGCGACTCCCGAAGTACTGGTTGGGTCATGTGCGCATAGCTGCTCTAAAGAAGAGGAATGTGCCGGTGGTTGTGGCTCCCTTGCCGATGAAGTTGGTGCCACCCGGCTCAGCGCCTGGAGTTGAATCTTCCAAGGCAGGAAGCAGTTGGCAACTTTTCATGTCAGTTGCAACAAACACGAATTTGCCAAGAAAAGTCCCGGAAACGCCCAGGGTTCGTTGTCTCAGGCGCACAATGTGTCGACAGATGGTGGCAAAGCTTGGGGAAATCGGTGCCGAAGTCACTCAAAGTGAAAGAAACAAAGGGGGGTGGCATCTCGCAGCGCCTGATGAACTACTTTTACGCTTTCGTTTGGCGTGCCAACTTAGATGCAGATGTTGACCTGACAGGAGCGCTCGGGAAACTCTGAAAAAGGGTTTTGCGGCAACTACTTCGGCCGGCCGTCGAAACAAACAACCACGGAAACGGGGCAGAAATGCTGAAATTTGCAGCGTGAAATGCTCTTTGTCTCCCTAAAGCACAGGTAACTCACCTACCTTCCAAACACCAAGGCCTCAAAACACAGAAAAGGTTCACAAAAACGAGCTCGCCAACGATACGTAACTGTAACAACACTGAGGCCCTAATACCAACGTGTGACCATGTAGAAAGCACCACGAGCACAGGGGTTGGAATTGCAGGGAGAGAAAGCATCTCCTCCTGCACCTGATCCTGTTGGATCCAAGGCGCGTGACCAGGATTTGGGTGCGGCAACTTTTTGGGCTCAATGAAAGGGGATAAACAAGCAAACTTGAAGAAAACAACATGAACGTTCCACATTCTGCGCAGCTATCAATGTCTTTGACGCAGTCCTGTTGTTGGTCAAACGCCAGTAGACCAATGACTGTGTTCGCAGTACCTGCTGACAGCAAGTGCTCTTGTTTCACATTGGAGGTCAGAATCTCCCCACCATAAAGAAAATAACAAAGGCTACTTTAGACTCTTGATTAACGACCCCCCTCCATTTGGATTGCGCAACCTCTTCATATTGGGGCTTTATTTATCAAGCGTCTACATTGACATTCTCATCCGCAAGAGGGGCGTTCACAAGCAAGTTGCAGGCTGAGAAGTCACCTGCTCCATTGCCCGAGCAGCGTGCTGAGGCCGAGACATGTGTCGCGGTGGCCGCGTGCACCTGTCTTGATTTCGCGCCTTTGTTTTGTTTCAACAATGTTAGGTCCAATAATCTATGGATACATCTATGGCATCTCGTGACAGGTTGATTAAGTTCATCGGGTCTTTCCATCATTTCGGCAGTAGGTGGCCAGGGCGCCAGCGGGTGTTGATTCCTCCACCAGCAATTTGTCACAGGGCGTTCCCATCGAATCGACTTGGCGTTCAGCCACCGGGTCTCAGCCCTGGGTTGCCACAGGCAGAAGAGGAAGCGGAGGAGGATGCCTTCACGAAAGAGGCACCGGATTGCAATTGGACGCCAGAAACAGTGAGTGTTTTTTTCAGGGTCTCAGGTGTCTACAGGATGATACAGGATGTTTCTGAGGAGAATTTGTTTTGCAGATTTGAGGATGACGTTCGACACTGGAGTTTCATGAAAAAGCTGCAGGAATGGCTGGAGTTCTTTCAGGATGATGAGGAAATCACAGAGGAGGACGTGTTTTTCTCCATCCTTTCCTTTTTCACAAGCTGCGCTAAACCAATGGCAAATACTTGGAAGGATGTTCTCTGCTGGGCATTGCAGTCTAAGACTTCGCCCAAGTAGAATGTTGCTGAAGTCTCATCAGGCGCAGCGCCTTTCTTATTGGAAACCCGCACCTACCCTTCAGAATCTGGCAGTCCTTTCGGAGTGTTTTTTCTGTGTGGTCTGAAAAAGGGGTATAGAAATATCTCTGAATGGATATTCCATGTACTTCAGCATCCTCTGGCAGCCTGTTATATTAACTGGCCGGACATGGCTTTTCAGTCACTCCTTCCAGCGTTCGTCTCTTCGTTTTGATCTGCGTTCGCTTCACCACTTCGGTCGCCCCGCACCACGCGGAGACGCTGGAGACGCGACGCGTCTATCCCCGGCACCACTTCGGCCACGACGGTCTTCGACACGTCACCGGAGCGTAGCGTTCGGATCGACGAGGACTTGGGTGTCTTAGACGACTTGTTGGACAAGATGGACACCTCAGGCCACTGGACCGTGGGGAGGGTAGTGAGGCGTGTGGACCTTGTGAGGCCTAAAACCCCAGGTTCCAGGCATTTGAGGTGGCAAGGCAGAGGCTGGCAATGCAGTTCCTAGTTTTAGAGGTGGCCGCTGATGTTCCCTGTTGGAGGGATTGAGAGGATGCTTGTGACGCTGGAGGTCTATTCCCGGGGGTGTCCTTGTGGCCCTGTCATTAAACAAAGGAGAGTTATCTTTTTTCTGGAGGATCTTTTTTGGATCTGCTTCTTGCTGCTTTCTTGCTTTTCCTTGCTTCTCATTGCTTTTGGGTGGTTGCTCCCGCTTTTCTTGCTTTTTTGTGCTTGTCCGTCCTGCTGTTTCCTTGTTGCTTTTTGTGAATGCACTTTTTCTTTTTTTAACCTTTCCTACCCCTTTTGCTTGGTTTGTTCTTCCTGGCTTTTCTCCTTTACTTTCCTTCTTCTACTCTTTTTGTGGCCTATTGATTCCCTGTCGTAATGGCCCTTTCTTTCTATGGTCTTTGCTGCTTTCACTTTTGATGAGTTACAGTTAGTTTTGCTCAACGGAATATAGTAGGGTAAGTCCTATGTCCTATCAAAAACGTGTTGGCACCTAACCGTAACTATAGGTAGGGCAGGATGAGACAGGACTTGTGGCACCATTTAAAGAGCAGCCTTGTATTGTATTGGGTTGCATGGGCAATCTGGTGATGTTTCGGATTATCTTCTTTTTGCTGCCCGATGACGTGGGATTTATACTCTCCGGACACAAAATCAACAATCAAGGCAGATGACGTGACTTGTGATTTTTCGATGTTTTCGATGTATGCCTTCTAGATCCCGTGTCATCCGAAGGTAGTATAGCTTTTCCAGTTCCACTGAAGGAATAGAGAAACCACGACCGCACAAACAATTGCCCAACCGCAATGCTTTTGCGGTTCCACAGAAGGAACTCAACAAAATGTTCCAAGTCTGAACACAATTCACAAATGAACATGGACCCTCAAACCCCAAAAAGAGCGCTACGAACGGGGCTCCTGGCATCGGCCGAGAGGTCGATGATGTCGCCAGAACGGAGAAACGGTCACGCAGATGGGAGACCCAACTGGCCAGGTCTCCGTGTTTCATGGCTGGTCAGTATAACGCCTGGCGAACATGAAAGACAAGAATAGAAGAAGCAAGAAAGGACATGAAGGACACTAAAGTGGATCCCCTGTCAGAACATGCTGCTCGGCCACAACATGTTTGCTCTCTCAAGACAGCACATGACTTCTGGCGTTTCTTTTCACTTTTGGTGTACGTGTCTTTCTCTGTGCGCCAGTGACGAAGGCATTTTTCTGTGCACATGCTGTCCAGGGTCCCAACCGCGTTCTTCAGTGAGTGACCTAAAGGAACTACAGCATGCCAACGCCAGCTCTCGAGTTTCTTTCTTTCGTTCTTTTTCCTTATCCGCAGGTGATGGGCAGTTGTCTCCTCAAGAGATCTCAGAAGCCTTAGCGGATCCCAACTTCAAGATGCCCGAGGCCGTACGGCGCCGTACGGAGCCGTACCTCGCGGCGCTCCGCACCTGTTCGGACCGCGACGGTGGGCAGCGGTGTTTCAAGACGTGTTTTCAAGTCTTTCGTTTCAGAATGTATGTCTTAAGGCAAGACCATCTCCGTGGCTTTCTGAAAAGATGGAAGCCACCCGAAACCTGGGTGAAACACCAGCGGCGAGCAACGGAAGCCAATGGTCTAGGTGATCTCTATCGGTCAGCTGTGAAATCAATGAGTTCCTCCAGGCGATTCGTGCCAAGCTGATCGACTTCATGAAGAATGTCGGCTGACGGCCTCTGACGGCCGACGGCTGCATGGTGCCTGTGTTGGTTCTTCTGTGGCGGAGGCGCAGGCACCCTGGCGCTCCTGGTTCTTATTTGTTGTTATAAACCCCGTCACCGACTCACCGACTAGACTTGTCATGACTGAAGAATGGTTGTGCCGAAGAGCACTGGCTCCACCACATAAAGAGTCATGAGTCATGTCTGATTAAGCCTGCGATATCGCATGCCCTAGCCTTTAAAGACAATGTTAAACATGTTTGACCTGGTTTTTGTCGTGTAAAGTCCGCTGACATCTCGCCGAATAACGACCATGTTGATGTCGCAAACTCTTAGGCACGAATGTGGGGCCTCTTTGGGGCACGTGTTGCCCCTTTTTTGTTGGCCTCTTTGGTTCTCAACCTTACGGGGCTGGAACTACTTTCTGCTACCTTGGGACCTTGATTTCTGTTTTCCTACCCTTTCCTGCTTTGATGGTTAAATGTTTCCCACCACACTTAGCCACGGCAGTGTGTGGGCAGCGTGGTCATGGGTGCTTTGCGCACCGCTTTGGTGGTGATTCTGGTGTTCATTTGTTTGACCCGCCTGCCTCCCGAAACTTGGAAGGTTCAGATTGGTCTCTCATCGGGCTGTGCTTGCTGACGTTCGGTTTCGGCCAAGGGGGTTGGACTTGTTGACCCCCAGCTCTGACGGTTGGACTTGTTGACCCCCAGCTAGGTGTGGGCCAAAGAAAGGTTCTCTTGTGGAGGGCGCCCTCTTTGAGGTCTTTTTGAGGTAGAAACCCGCGCCGGGGACCCATGGGTGAAACCAGTGGTTCAGCCCCTCAGATACATGGGTGGCGCCCCGGGAAGACGAGCCGCCGGAGTTCGGCCTCGGCGCCGCCGGGTGCGCTGCCGCGGGAGTCCGCGCGGAGATGGTGCAGCAGTGAAGCCCGGTGACGCTGCGCGGAGATTGGGACAACGCACCCAGCTGCGCGGAGGGTGGCTGTGGCCGTGGATTTCGATGCATTGACCTTAATGTCACGAAGGAGGTGGAGGTTGACAGTTTTCAGTTTTTTCAGGAAGAAGGGGATGAAGTATGATTCTGGGTGGATGGAACCCTTTTGGGAGGAAGTAATCAAGTAATCAAAAAGAAGGGGTTCTAGAGATAAATGCTCAATGATCAGAAGATCATTTTTGTGATTTTCCTCAGCCATGAGGCTGAGCGATGCTCAACGGCAATGATGACAGAAGACAGTGCCTTCCGAACTTGACTATCTCGAGTCAACAGGTTGAGATTGCAGCGTTGAGGGCTCAAGTTCGTGTGTGACATGAAATTTCCCCAAAGCCCCAAGTGCTATGGGATGAATACATTAAACGTGGGTGTGTAGTGAATAGGGAGACCTCCCAAATCCAACCCCTGGAAGAAAGAGAATAGACATGAATAGACCACAAACCATTGGTGGAACGTTTCCCTGTTAAATTGCAAACCCACATGCAGTATATCAAGTCAAAAACATATTTCATGAACGTCATGCTGAATCAATGTGGCTCGCAGTGTTGAGGGCTCATTTTTCTTTTTAAGGACAACTGGTTTGCTCTTGTTTCTCGTAAGCGACACATCTCACCGGTCACGTGCTCCTTTATAGGCTAGCCTATAGGTTGCACGACCACGTGCGAAAACGTGCTGAGCACGGTTGGGGATCCGGTGCCATGGCTCCGAAGGCCAAGGTGCAGCGGCAAAACACCTTGCAGATTTCCGAGTGGTCGGAAGTGGAGCTTGACAAGCGCGTGCAGACGGTCATAGCTGGTAAGACATACCTTGGCACAGTGAGGTTCAGCGGACGCTTGGGATTGAACCGGCACCGGTTTTGTCACCAGCAAAAGATACAGTAAGTGTTCATTTTTTTTTTTAATGGGACAATAGTCAGTAGTTTCTGTTTTATCACCAATGAATAACTGAAGGTGTTGGGTTGTGCTATGTTGTGCTATGGTGTTGTGATAACTGAATGTGTTTATGTTTATCTGTTTGAAAATCGTCCGTAGTTTCCACTTGTTTTATCACCAACGGATAACTGAAGGTGTTGGGTTGTGCTATTGTTGTTCCTTGCATTGGGGAGCTCAGGAAAAACGCAGTTTGCAGAAGGACATTGGATTGGCATTGAGTTGGATGAAGCTGTGGGGAAGAATGATGGCTCTGTCCAGGAGTGATGCAAGTGCCAGTTCCGGTGAGTCTTTGATGCCACAGTCCAGAGATATAACTATTTAAAGGCAGAAAGGGGTGAACTATTTCTCTGGATCATGGTTCAATAGATGTAGAAGAAGCAAGTCACAGCCATCCGAAGGTCTTCAACTAGCACATTCGCACTCGTTTGGGTGCGCACCAGGGGAGCCGCTACTTCAGCTGCCCGGCCCAGCATGGTCTGTTCTGCCGGCCGAACATCACCCGCCCTACAGCAGAGACTTCAGAGAGTGCAAATCAGACTGGAGGACTGGTGGACATCAAGAAGAACATCAAGGAGCCGTCTGGGGATGTCCGTAGGAAGATGACATGAAGAGACAGGTCGAGACAGGTCTCTTACAGGAACATGTCATTCTTCCAGTACTTCAGGTTCCAGACTCCGGGCATTCCAGTGACATGCACAAAATGGGAGATCTTTCCATGTCTGCGGCTGCGTCATTGTGGGTTGCTTTGTTTGTCACAGGTCTGGGGGTCTGGCGGTTGAGACTAGAGGTCTGGCCGTTGCAGCCCTCAATTCCAAGAACCATTCCTTTACTAAGGGCATTACACTAGAAAACCGGGTCAACCATACCCTCAAATTCCCAGAACCCAGGTCGAAGGCGAGTCCGGGAGTGTCCTGCTCGTCCCCAAAGCTTGCCGGTGGCGCCTCTGGTGGCGCCAGGGTGAACTTCTCAAGTCGCCTTCTGGGATGAAGGTCAGATGTGTCCGAGGAAACCCGTGAAACAACCGAAGCAGGAAGAAGAGACCAACATGTTCCACCAGGCGAACCTGCAGACGGAAGACGATCTTCCGTTCCGACCACTCAGCTTCTGTGGTGAGTTCAGGTTCCATGGTGATCTGGCGGATGCCCTCAGAATTGTTGATTGCATGACACGTTGGGCCCAGTTGGGCCCTTGAGAAGTCGGGATGGCACAGGGTATGCTGCGGATGCTCGTGAGCTGCGGTTTCGATGCGGATGCGGTTTGGATGCGGATGCTGAGGTTTCGAAGGGTCCTGTGCCATTGAGTTTGCTGGTTGAGGCTTCGGTGTTCGAAGCCTCTTTTCTCGTGAAGGCTCAAGGCTCGGGTCAAAAGACGGTGCCTTGAGCATTGACACAGCACCCTGCTCGCAAATAGGGATGATTCTCACATCCTGATGATTTCTCAGGCAAATGCAGTACACTTGCTACGTAGGCCATATGGTACTCTTGCTTCAGGAGATGCTGACCCTCGCGGAAGACTTGCGTGCCAAGCAAGAGGCCCTGACGTCCAGCGCCAAGCTCCAGTCGGATGTGTTGGCGCACTTGGAGCACTTGGAACGCCTCGCGCACCTGAAGATCGCCGAGGCCCCGGTCGAAGCGGTGCGCGCCGCCCCGCACCATCCGGACGACCACGACGAAGCGGGCAAGACGGGTCGCAGACTGCGGCTGAACAGTGAAGGAGGGGGTAACAAAAAGGGGTCAAGGCCTAGATCTCTTATGGGGCCATTTGAGGTTTGATGGGTTTGGATGCACATCGATGTAGCAAAGGCATTTAATCAGATGTAGGATGTAGGATGTAGGATGTAGATGATGATGACGATGATGCTGCTGCTGCTGCTGATGATGATGATGATGGAAGTTTATGTTCCACACTCATTGCTTCTACAGTGCCACACTCATCCTCAAACAACTAAACAAGCCGTCCCATCTGGGTGGTTGGCAAGAGAGGTTTTAAGGGTCCCATGGCTCGTTTCCAGTCCCATGGCTCTGTGAGGCCTCGCACGCGTGGGAGGAGACGTCTTCTGGACTGTCGCAAGAGGCGGAGCATTTGCAAGTGGGCCAGCGAGTGCACACGCGGATGCTTAAAGACAGCGCACGAACGCTACATCTTGGCACGGTGAGGTTCAATGGACGCTTATCATCTTATATTACGCACGTCCACCTTGAAAAAAGTACACCCTGGCCAAAGCTAGGCCGAGCTGATGGGTTTGGAGGTTTTGGTGAATTAAAGAAAGCTTCTACTTCGGTGAACCCGACGTTCGGAGTTTCCTCTACTTCGCGACCATCGTCGATCTGGACGGGTGCCAGCGGCATCGCGTTTTGCACGTAACAAGGGCATGGATGCGCGTTTTTTCGTTAAGACTTGCCCATCAAACCACGGATTCTTGGGCCCAATCCGCTTGAAACGGTTTACACCGAATCCGCCGGAAAATCATGGTGTTTTCGACCACCAAATCCACCGAAAAGACCGGGGCAAGACGTGCTGAACTAAGAGTGTTGGAAGATCGTAGGCAAGACATATCAGTGAACGCTTGCTTGAAAAATGCACTGGACATATCAACAACAAGAGTGTTCATTGATTTCTTATTGAACATAGCTGCGTAGCTTCCACTTATTTCATGACCTGTGAAATGCCGTACACCAGGTTTCATGACCGCCTGTCTTTTCCGGCTGGGCGCCCAGCCCTGGGCTGAGGAACGACGCACTTTGCTCCGGGACCATGGATTGGCATTGAGCTGGATGAGCCGGTGGGCCTTGAGGATGGCTCCGTCCAGGATCGCCCGCGGCATGGGCAACCGATGGCACGGGCACCGGCTCGGTGGTTGACCTTAAGATCACTGGGCAACATCAATGGCTGTGCCAGAAACATAAGGTTTGGATCACACACCCAAACCCACACACGATCCATACATCGATCCATAGGGTATGGATCAAAAGGTTGGTGTGTGATCCAAGGGCCTGGATCACATGGTTTGGTTGTTGTTTGGTTGCAGGAGGGCCCCATTCCTAGAGGTGATCCATGTAGCTAAAAGCCAGAACAAGGATCAAGAAGACAAAGAAGAATAGTAATAGCAATAATAAGACGAAGGTAGAAGGACGAAGAAGAAGAAGAAGAAGAAGAAGAAAGAAGAATGAGAAGAAGAAGAAGAAGAAGAAGAAGAAGAAGAAGAAGAATGAATAAGGAGAAGAATAAGAAGAAGGCAGAGCAAGAAGAAGACAAGCGAGCAGGAAAACCCAGAAGCAGCAAGAAGACAGAAGAAGCATGAAGAAGCAAGAGAAAGAAGAATCAAAGAAAAGAACAAGGGTTCTTGGCCATGCCCGCATGTATATTCAAGGGGGTGTACCCCTCTCAATATACATTTCCCGATCCCCAGATGTCATTTCCGGGGACGGGATTTTATAATACGTTCTTTGTACTTGGAAGTTATAAGTTGATGATTGTGAGTGTCCCCCGCCCCGTTTCATGATATGCTATGAACAATGTATGTTCTGCATTGATGCATGCCTTTTCTCTATGTTCAACCTGCCCTGATCGAAAATGCGTTTTCAACACCTGCTCCCACCCCTTCTGCATACATTATATTAGCAGAAATGTATGACATCCCCCCTCCCCTTTTCGGAGATGGACCGGGTGATACCCTAAGCATCATTGGATCCGACCTTCGGGTTTTGACCCGACCAGTTCGCGTTTTGAAGGACCCGAAGCTAACAGGTCTTCACCTTCGAGGGTCCCTGATTCTCAATAGGGGCACCAGTGGGAAACCACCCACCAATGGGCTGTGGTCTTTGTTCTAATCATTTCTCATCATTTCCTGGTAGGGAGACCAATACTTTCTGGACATAAACGACTAAACATCAAACATACTCTTGCTTGACCGTTTTTCTGTACATCACAAAACTCTTTTATCCGATGCTTATAACATACATACATACATACATACATACATACATACATACATACATACA